CCATGTGATTGTTCTAAGACTTGGAACATCTCTGTGTTGGAGAAGGAGAGTTAGCAAAGGACTTAACTCATAAAAAAAATCAGGTATCTCTGTGACTTACGGGGTAGTTAGCTGGGCCAAGACTTGCTTTTCCTGTCCAGCCATGCAGCATAAACAAATGTATATGGAGTTAGGACAGAACAATGCTCTTCAAGAAAGAGTAGTGATCTGCTTGCTGCTCCACACCATGTGCAAGACGTCATCTCTTTCTAGTTTTTTTGGAGAAAACTACTCTTTGAGTCCATGTTACTTAATGAAGCCTCCCTTCAGCACCCGTCTTGGTTGTCAACAGCTAAACCTCTGGATACGGCTCTTCATTAATTTAAGATTTTGGCAACTGGCTCTCCCCATCCCAACCACCGCCATGGTTGGGTAGCATGATCTGGCCTCTCAGTTTCTTAATGGCCACATGTCCAGTGACCTTTTCCTCCGCTCCACCCACGCCACCCACTCTCAGTGCCGCAAAACAAGGTATCCATAGCCGAACTTTACTTGCAAGCCTTACATTAGGACATCCCGCTCTCAGCCCAGCTTCTCTCCACCCACCCTGTTTGCTCAGCTCTCCCTGCATCTCCTGTCTGACTCCGACCGGACCACTGCAGCCAATTCTTTCTGTCTTTGCTTCATTTGCCAGCCTGGTTAGTGCCACGGTCCCACAGTGGCCCGCGTATCAATCACTCTCTTGCCACTACCCTGTGCTCTTCGGCTCCTTACACATCTATTTGGGAAACCCATCCTGAGTCGATGGGGTTGTGTGACTCGTCCTGCTGGAGAGCTTCTGGAGAAAACCACGGAGCCCTCTGCGTATTCATAACCATCAACCTTAATAACCTCGCGGCAGGGCTGGGCAACCCCCCTGAATTTCTCTTGTTGTTATTCTTTCATTCTATTCAATAATTATTTCAAACATTCTTTGCTTGCCTCAACCCCATGGCTCTGTCTCTGCATGTTACTCTCAACACTGTCTTCCCTCTTGTACCAAATACTTCAATCTCCTGCCACCAACCAACAAAGCCTTTCAGCACCAGAAGCCACCCTCTCCCCTTTCTCTTCTAATGCAATGGAAGAGAGATTCCTTTTTCTTTCTCGGACCATTTTCTATACTGGATTGCTGGATCCCACCTTTGCCTATTTTCTCAAGAATTTTGCACTTTAATTAAAAACACACACACAGTTTATTTCACATCTTTCCCCATATGCATTCCTATTTATCGTCTCAATTTCACAGCCAAATTTGGAATGAGTTGTCTGCATTTGTGGATCCTATTTCTTCCTCTATCATTCACAGAACCTTCGTTAATCTGGATTCTGCCCCAGCCTCTATCAAAACTCTGTTGCAAAGTCTACGTGTGATATTCTTGTGGTTGAAGTCCAGGGATATAATCCTCATTGGGCTGACCCTGTAAGACTTTGTTGAACTTCTCTCTCCTCACCTTGGCTTCTATGATGCCTCACTGTGTTTTTGTCAAGTTTCGCTCTCTGTCTCTTCTTAGTCTCCTTTCCCAATCACTAAAGCCTGGGCTACTCCATGTTCCTTCTGTTCAGGACCTTTCTTTTTTATCTTCCTACGTTCTCTCTTCAAGCAAGCTCATCCTCTATCATGGTTTCCACAGCCATTTAAAAGCCACGGACTCCAAATTTAGACCCTTAGACCCAGCTTTCTGAGCTCCAAAGCACATACAGAATTTTGTTTGGAATATACCCATTTTAGACATCTCGTAGCCTGTTTACACCGGACATAACAAAAAATTAAATCATGGCCATGTTCCTTCAGCCAAAAACAGGAAATCCGTCGAGGCCCCTCTTTTCTCTTCTCTAACCCACTGAGTCTCTGTCTGCCTTACCCAGCTCAGAAACCCCTGTGCCTGTCTGCATCGGCTCCTCAGACCCCTGCAACGGCACCCTTTTCTCTCCCAGGGACTGGTGGAAAAATCTCCCAAATTGGTCTTCCCGTACCTCCCCTTTCCACATCTCTTCTATTCTCCACACGTCACCTGGAGTGATGGTTTTTTCCTAGAAACCCGACCTCATCTCTCTCCTGCCTGAAGTTCCCCAGTGATTTCTCACTGCGCTTAGATGAAAGGTCAGTGTCCCTTAGTGGGGCTGCAGGGCTCTGTGTGTCCCCCTTCACTCGCTGCACAGGTATGATCTCCATCTAGTCCCTGCTCTGTCCTCGATGCTCCAGACACACTGGGCTGCTTTATTCATCAAGTGTGCAAGCAGGTCCCCAGCTCGAGAACGAGGCCCCTCTTCTTCCCGCTTCTCAGTATGTTCCCTCTTCCATACACTGCTCCCGCAAGTTTCAAGTCTGCTCACATGTGAACCCCCGTGCGCCCCCTCTTCCCGTGTATGACAATGGCAGCTTTGCCTGATACATGCAACCCAAGCGAAAATGCTTAACTTTTTTAACATCACTGAGAAACACTTGTAATGATAACACAGTGTAGGTGTAAGGTTCATGGTCCCCAACACCTAGCGACAAAGTTCCTGGCTCATAAATAATTGTTAAATGGAAGACTGCTACTTCCATTAAACTTCTTTAACTTAAGACTGAAATTACTTTTCTTGAGTGTCCCCTTTCGTTGCCATTATTCGGGGTGATTATAGCTTAGAACTGAAAATTATTACAGGGGCATGACCAAAGGGAGGTTTTCATCCTCAATGGTGACACCACGTATTACGGGATCAGTGATTGTAGGATAATGCACCCGGCTGATGAATGAAGATTCGAGGGGTGTATTTTAGTGTTTTTCATGCTTCCTACTGAAGAAAGTTGTCAAAACATGTATAGATATTTAAGTGATAATAGAATACGAGAAACTGACATCATCTAAACAAGTCAGGTCACAGTCTGAACTGAATGCTCAAGGTCCTAGGTAGTCGGCAAAATGATTCTGAATTGCAATATACCTCTCTTCTTCCAATAGCAAATTTCCATGATCCAAAGACAATAAAATAATTGGGGAGGGAGAAGGCAAATTCTATTTACTTCTTAAAGCATTTGTGTCTCTAGGAAGAAAGCAGTTGTGTTCCTTTAAGAATTGCTTAATTTCTGCAACATTACTCTGAAAATGTTTGCAATAAATATTACTGAGGTAACTTAACTCAAAAAATGCTACTGTAAAGAAGAGAACCCATTTTGTTTATAAATTATAGTACTTACATAAATGTGCATTTGATTATAAACATTGCAAAACATAGTTGGGCTATTCACAAATTTAAAGGGCTTAAGAGATGTCCTCACAAAGGGATGTTATTTATTTTTTTTACCCATTAATGTACTGTCTGGTAAGCAAATGAGAATATAATTTAACTAGAGCATTTTTTTCTACATATCAATTAGTAGTGCAATGACGGACAATCTGACTTAAAAATATGCAGAAAGACGTAAGTGACAGCCTTTATTTCCATTAGATTTTTATACAATTGCATTTAACTAAAAATGTATCATTTTACTTTGCCCTGAGAGTAAGTTGTTCCTACAAAACTTAATGAGTTTTGTCAATTTGAGATTGTGAAGGCTTTGCTTTTATGATTAAAATGCAAAAAAAAATGAACCTCTTCATTAATTGCATGAGTTTTCTAACTTTCAATTCTACTTTCATTGAAATATATTTTTTCTATAATTTTATTACTCACTTTTTTCTTCCTTACTCAAGTAATTAGATTGTCCAAATTACTTATCTCCGAAGTAAGATCTATGCCATGTTGACAGACAGGAGTTCCATCTCAGAAATATTCCTCATGATGCTTAGTTAGTTGAGCAGAACATATTGGAAATGTTGAAAAATGATATATAGCATGTATCTTAATAACAGCAGAAAACTTGCACTGTCTTTACTTGCCAAAGCATTCATACTCTTAATTTCATGGGGGTATTTTTAGTTTCTAGTAATTTGGAAAAAGGTAATAGGTGACAAAGTCAGGAAATAAAGTGTAAAAATTTCATGTAGAACTCTAGCTATATATAATACCTATAAACGTATAGAAAAGCACATTTGCATTCCAGTAACACCTGTGACATTTAGACGGTCTATAGAATTCCTGCATTCAATTTTTGCCTGTATCACATGCCAGTATGAGTTCTCTCTAAATACAGAGACCTTAAAATAGATGAGCACTCAGAGAATATACGGTGCAGCAAATAGTACATTTTTATGCTTTCCTACTTTCTATAATTCTTGCTCATAAAGCAGTTAATAAAATTATAAATATGTTTAGAAAAACCTACAAATTTCAAATAAAAAACTATAGATGACCCTAAATGGAAAACCGCAGCTTTTATAAAACTTTTACTTTACAACATATTCATAATCACCCGGGCCAACAATATTCTAACAATAAAAATTATGTTTCCATGTCATATCCGCAGGAATACACTTGCTTTCATGTAGATGGCGAAGATCTTATCAGCACAGCAATTACCCTGGATTCCCCGCTTACTGGTGTCACTAGTGTACAACAGATTTTCATTCACATAGTTCACTACATGCTTATTACAGACCTTTCTTTCTAGCAACATTTATCTTTCTTGTTTTATGAACCAAAGCTATTTTATGTTTTCTACCTCTTCTATATAAAATCTCATAAATAATTACTGGATTTCAAAGGTTTCTGACAGCTGGACACTTGACAGCTCTTTCTAACTGATGTTCAAAGAAATATGATGTGGGGTTAAATTAAAGACTTACAAAATAGACTTCTAATTTCTCTTTCTGCTTGTGAGTTGGCATCTGTGGCATTGCACGCTTATGCACAAAGAGAAAGCGAGATGTCATTTATTTACAGAAGTAATCTGACTACAGGCGGAGTGTGGAAAAAGTGGACAGAGAAGAGGTAGATGCATGACAGTTCCTTGGAAGTTATGTCTGAAAGAATGACGGGATTGACTAGGAAATCAAAAAACAAGTTTTTCCAGAAGACAGGGCTATCAAAGCACCCGGTCTCGCATGGGCACTCACCATTGCTGCGTCTTCCCTGGAGGCTGTTCCTGGCCTCCCAGCAGCCAGCTGCCAGCGGGCTCAGCGCACCGTGTCTAGGCCCCCTGGCTCTGCCCACATGGACAGCGGTGGCCACCGGGCTCCTCAGGAAGCAGCTTTCCGCCTGGGGAGAGAAGGGCATTCCTTACACAGGGACAACACCCGTTACCGTTGCACTTGTATTATTCCCATATACAGGTGTCCCCCCAACATGGACACACACTTTGAATAATTATTAATTCCAATAGGTTAAATATGAAAAGAAAGGAACATCAATTGAACTATCAGGCCAAAAGTATGTATACATTTTGGGGGGACACCCTGTAAAAACTCAATTTCTATTGGTAATTCTTATGTTTTAACATTTATAATTACATGGGTTTTAAAGCTTTTTTTTTTTTTTCTGGAAAAGAGGAATAATAGCTAAATCGGATATAACTCTGCATTTATACCTACACAATAGTCACTAAAGAAGATGTAAGTAAAACACTGAAAGCATAAGGTTGGTTACAATAAAACGGCAGATCCATCAAGGCCTTGGTTCTGATCTTCTGGGCACTGTATTTAATTTTCATAAAATATTCAAGTTATAGTATTCAACTCTAGTACAATCATATCATGGGATATAGCTAGCCTCTTCACTTTATAACAGGCCTTACAGTTTCTGGTAGTAACAAAAAAATTCAACATTATGACAATTTTCCTTTATAAAATGACAGATAATATTATGGTTTCCAGAAGATCGAGGAAGACAACACAGCTGTCCTGGGAAGCTCCTTCCCTACTCCTGGGATTTCTCTGCAATTGATTGGCTTTTCATTAGTATAATAGCCCAGGCAACTTCTGCCCCCTCACTTCTTGCCACAGGAAAGGAAAAGTGACTTATCCAATTGGCGAGTTTAGCAGTTTTAGCCCAGACTCTTCCATCTCTTTCTCTTGGAAGCTGGAATCTCATCATAAAACACATACTTTACTATTTTCCTATAATCCATAGGCTTATTCAGGGGCAGGCACTATCCATGATGGGGAGGGCGGTGGCCACAGTTGGGTTTGTAAATTCAATTCTGGGGAGTGTCAACAGCTCCCAATGTTTGGAACCATGATCGGGGTCTCTCCTTGCCTACCTCTCCAATCTCATTTGTGTGTTCCTAACATACATCATGTCACTGCAACCAGAGGGGCCTTCACCCAGCTCCTAGCTGTGCTGTACTCTCTACTGCGCTAGGATCCTCGTACCCGCGCCTTCTTCCAGAACACTCTTTCCATTAATTTTTACCTGGCTGGCTCCTTCTCGCCTTTCAGTCCTGATTTTAATGTCTCCTGCCCAGCTACCCTTCTCTACCACCTTATCTACATACCTCCCTTCTCTCCATTACTGAATATTACAGTCCTCTGTTCATTTATTTATAATTTAATTCACTGTATCTTTAGATTTTGGTCTTTTTGTCTCCAAGCTCCATGAGGGCAGGGATCATGGTCGTCTCACTCATTACAACTACACGGGAACCATTCACCCAACATTTCTAGAATAAATTATTGAAAGGCATTGGTAGATAAGGAATCTTAAAACATATTTAACTCCTGGGAAATATTAAGGTAGACACAGTTATTTTACATCACTGTGAAATATCTTTGAAATGATCGTATAGGAACTGTGAAGTTCCAATGACACTGTCTTCACAGATCAAACATAAGGATATCCAGGACGAAAAGAAGATGCTTTGCTCTGTCACATGATGTCAGCAAACAGTAAGGCACCCAGAGGGCGTGTGTCGTTTCACAGCATGTACTTGGGAAGCTTTGTACAGAGGAAAACGTTTTCATGCAAGAGAGAGTGTTCACTGAGTATTGTCAACAAAGTCTAGCACTAGAGACACTCGCCAAAGATATTCCGAGTACCCCAATAGAAAGCTGAAGAGCTGGGTTCTGCAGCATGGTTTTGGAAGCTCATATGCAGCGTGTGTGGGAAACACAACCTCAGTTTTCAGCCCTCTCAGGAGGGTGGAGAAATCAAGCCCTTCACGTGGCTGCCCCCAGGAGCCCTCTCTAGTGGTGGCCGTGACCATGATGGTGGCCACAGCCATGAAGGCACCGGTTGCAGTGCCAACAGCACTCGACGGCTTCAAAGTCGGGGACAAAACCACATTCATAATATGTCACAAGATAGTAAGTTTGGTGAACGGCAATCTACTCCGCAGATGAGTTTTTAGTAATTAATCTGCCAAGAACTGTTTTCTCTGTTTATAATCGATTGCGTATCTTCTTACAAATCCTCTACTTGCAGGAAGAGTACAACAGCAAAGATTTTTTGAAACAAACATGACCCGAAACTCATTACTGAGCAAAGTACAATGACACAGGCAAGCAACAGAGCCACATCTGTCCACGGAAGGCGTGGCCCTGCAGCCGTGGACAGCCCAGCCTCAGTGAGCTTTCCAGGGCCGCTGGCAGGGGCAGAGCTCGGGATCTTCTCTGGTACAAGTCTGTCTCTGACCACAACACAATTCGGACTAATCGAAGCAGGAAGGCTGACAGGAGATGCTGAGCAAACTAAAATTCCACTCTCCCAAGGACTCAGAATTTATAAAGGGGCTCACGGTGCAGTCCGGGTAAGTATTCTTTGGAAAAGAAGGCAAGGAGATATGTTATGTTCCCCCAGTCTCTGGATTCTGGGGGGGTTAGTGTATGCCTCTTAGAGGGGGTTCAAGCTAGGCGGCAGGCACGCTGCACCTGAGCAAAGACTTGAATTGAAGGTCCTTGAGTGCAGCTTTCAACATGCCCAAATGATGCCCAACTAAATTATTGATCCAACAGCAGTTCATGCTGTACAGATGCTTCTATGATGATCATTAGCCAAGTTACTATAAGTTCAGTGCTTTCTGAGAATAAGTTATGGAGGTAACAATTATCAACAGATGGTAATATTATATATATTATATATTCATAATAAATAATAGGTGACATGTAACAATATCTATAATATACACTAAAGTACACATATACAAATATATAAAATATTAATATATAAATATATTTACAAACTAAATATATGTATTGATGGATATACATTTTTCATAATAAATTTATATATATGTGTGTGTGTATATATATATATCCTGAACAGTTGCCACTTTAGCTCTTCATTGTATCTTTTTTCCTTCACATGAAATAAATTTAAAATATTTTAAAATATAACTATATGAATACAATGGTAAGCTCCAAACATGTGCAAAGCATTACAGAATTCAAAAATATACAATATTGGAGCTTGTTTTTTGAGCACACGTTTCATTGCACTGTTTATCTTCCTGGGTACATACCTGTGTGTACACACACAGGGCACCTCAGGGTACCTCATCGCCAACATACGGGTTCCGGGGAAGATTCTTGCCAATGAAGGGGCCTGGCAGCGAGATGCAAGATTTCAGGTCATCCTCTCAGGATTTGGACGTCGCCTGCATGTTGTGGAGATTATAGCTAAATAAATGACTCACTACTCCAGGTTCTAGAAATGGCCACATGTAGCTTTGTGGTAATGTTAACTTCACTATGGTATTAGTAATCTCATCAACTTTTTGGTTAGGGATGGATAAATAACTAGCTTTTAGTATGTAAATTACCAACAAAAAGCTTTTTGCAGAAAATGGGGTCAGGTTTGAGATGTAAATGAAGCCTAAAATGTCTCATTAGGTTTTGAATTGCCTTTTTTTTTTCTCCTAAGCATTATAAATCTTGCAAGCTTTTCTGGTAATTTTCTTGCTTGAATAAGCTAGTAGGGTCTTTTCCAATAATAAATGAACTAAAATACTTCTCAAAACTAATTCTGCTTAAACAAATAGAGCAAGCAGAATACTGAAGTGTAACTGATTTTAAAGTTGCTCAATATTTTTCCCTAATAGGTTTAGGTGATAAGTTGTACAGACCACGTGGACATGCTTCACAGTGGACATGGTGCTTGGGTCTGGAGAGATACCTTTCCAAGGCTCGCATTTAAAATCAGTTGTATTTTTGAAGGCTACATATCAGATCTTGGGCCAAATTGTCAGCCACAGAATGTGTCTATGTTTTGGGAAGAAAGAGAGCTTTAATTTACAAAAAGTCTCTCTGGTTCTCTTCTGACAAGTTCTATTAGCAATGCTCGATACTAATCCGTCTTTTCAAAACAAATACTATGCAAACACATGACCTTGCTCAGGGCACAGCTCTGGGGAAGCTTACACAGTTAAATGATCACCGTCAATGCAAAGGCAGGCAAAGCTGCTTCATGTTTTAGGAGACACTAATAAAACAGCGTCACGGCACCAAACGGGACTGTCACCAGGAAGTTTCACACCTCTTACTTTTACCACGTTGGTCTAAATTAGCCTCATGCGACAGCGCATGAAGTGTCTGTGGGTTGTGTGTGTCTTTCACAGCATTGCCAATGTTTAGGACGGTTTAACACATCAAACTCCAGACAGGGGGCCCAATTTTTGTCGCCCTAAAAGCTGCAAAAGTAAAATAGTAAATACGCAATTACAGCAACTAGCTATATTTAACCAACTTACAAACCTAAAAGGAACATCAGTCGACCACTGTCGTCATGTGGTTCGTTTCTGTGTCGGGCCTATGGGTAAGCAAATGAAGTGAAAGAGCCCGGAACCTCATTGCCATAACTTCCTTTGAATTGTAGCAACAACCCATAGCCTCACCCCCAAAGAAAAGCAACTCTTTCTAAAATGCCTGCGGCAATGTTTTCCTGCTCCCTCACATTTACCTGGACGGATCTCTGCAAAAGGCAGCCTTCTGCATTCACCCTAAGCAGCCTAAGTTAGAGAGGGCATGTGTGTATCACAGTTTCTTTCAGATTAGACTTTATTGCTTCAGTAATTCTATACATTGAGAGAAAGAGATTGTGAGGCTAAATTCTTCACAAAAGTACCTGATTTAAATTGGTATATGCTCCCCTGGCCAGGTAGCTCAGTTGGTCAGCTGTTAGAGGGTCATCCCGATAGGTAAAGCCTGCAGGTTCCACCCCAGGTCAGGGCACACACAGCAGTCAACCAATGAAAACAGAGATGGGTGGAACAAGAAATCGATGTTTCTCTTTCTTCCCCTCCTTCTCTCTCCCTCTCTAAAACCAAT